ATATACATATGTTCATATCAATAATGTAATATTAGTATGCAATCAATTATATAAATTCCATAATTATTATAAGAAAACAAACTTCATTTTTTAAATATTATACCAATCGAACTTTTTAATTAATTATCAAATATTATTCTACAACTGAGATTATAACTAGATGTTATGAATGCGACAGTGACGTGAAAAATAAGGTCGATGAAAGAAATTGCTTGATTGTATAGAAAATAATAAAAAAGAAAAAAAAAAAAGAATAACAATAATAAAATATTCTTCATTAAAACAGGAAGTAATTAAATATATCATATTTTATATAACCATATAATTGTGTAAGAATTTTGATTGATGATGTAGTACAGTGATATGAAAAATAAGGTCGATGAGATAAATCGATTGTAGAAGAAATAACAGAGAAAGGTATTTAAAAAAAGATATAAAAAAAATAATAAAAAATTCTTAACAAAATGAATCAGTGATTAGATATGTTAAACGTAAAAAAAATTATTCAATCGTGATAGAAAGAAAAATGATAAAATAGTAGTGTCGCATAATCTGACATGTGACATAGATGCACCACTACACTTACCCGTGCATGACCGTTGCTCTGCAATACAGTATAGCCGTTAGTTTTGCCATTTATCAACGAATCATCGTACGAGGTTAAACTGTTCTTCATCTGATCACTATCATCCTTATTTTCATCCCACGTCGTTCTCACAATTGGATCAAAGTCGGTTGTGGGTATATAAGATCTCGTCTTCCTTGATGTTGCCATGCTTCTTCCTCAATTTCTAATCAAAAAATACACATAAATAGAATGTGATACACGTATCATAAGAAACTGAGAAAATGGCACAATGTAGAAACAGTAAGAAATAGTCAATAAAAGGAAAGAGAAAGAGTTAACACACAAAGATGATATAAGACAAAAAAATCAACACGTGGGACCCTAAGATGAAAATAATTGAATTACCTTTAGAAAATAATGATTTCTTATTAAGGAAAATAAGTGTTAAACTGCGTCGCGTACTTTATACAGTTAAAGAAGAACAGAGTCTCTACGAGACTGACCGGTTAACGTCGCGCGTATCAAAGCCCGCTATGTGCTTCTCAGCAACCAAGGCAACAAACGTGTTTTCCGCTTTGCACGCTTGCGCAATGTGCCCGGCGCTTTTACTTTATCTTTCTCTCTCTCTCTCCCTCTCTCTTTCTTTCCTTCTTTATCTCTTACCCTCTTTCTTTTGCCTTACTTTCTTCTCTCTTTCTCCAATTTATATCCCCTGTTTGCGCGCAATCGAGCACATTTTTAATTAACTCTAAATATTCAAAAGTCTACGACACGAGATATAACAATATGGCTCAATGATTATATCCTTTCAATAATTTACAAACAAACATGACCCCTAATTTTATTTTTATTTTATTTATCTATTTAATTATTTATATGCGAATGTTGTACATTTAAATTAGCGTTTGCTCAAGTTTTAATTTTTATATTATAGAACGAAACATTTAATTTTCTAATGAATTATAATAGTTCAAAGTTTATGTAATAATTGAAAACGAAATAATTATGAAATTAGATCTAGGTATATTGTGTTAATATGTCAATGATAACAGAACTTTACTCTAGTATCTTGGTTAATATGTCTGTGTGCGTGCAAGTATTAGTCAGTCCTATCCGCACCCATTTTCTTCAATGTCAGGAACGAATTTGAATATTTTGGCACCCCTTTCTTTATTCTTCGTTTATCCCAGGGTTTCTTAATTTTTTTTACTTAATAACTCTCTTTCACTGATCAAATATTTTCGCGACTCTGGGTATAGACTTGATACCATGATCTCTTTTACTTTTCTAAATTTACAGTCATATTATACGCTTAGTGTTGCCAAACTTTTTTTGAATTAATTTTTGGTCATTGTAGATGCAGGAAATTTTTATTTTCGCTCAAATTTCTGCAACCCCATATAGAGTTTCAACTTGCAATCGGAGAAGCCCTGGTTTAGTCTTCTCATATCTCAGAGGTTCTCAACTTTGTTTATGACAATAATTTTCATCTCTCTCTCTCTCTCTCTCTCTCTCTCACCACGTATAAAATTATTTATTTATTTATTTCTATATTGCAATCGTTCTAATGTATATTTTATATTACTTTAAGTATACATTTATTTTATTTTCATATTATTTAATATTAGTTATAAATTTTATCTAACGAAATATAAGATTAAAGTATCATCGTATAACATTGTGTTATTTTTTATCGATATCAGTTTTCTGAGTAATCAAATTCTTAGAACGATTCGTCGACATCACAAAATGCACTGATGAGTACAGATGCACTTTTCTTACCTGTATATATCTATATATATGTCGTTATAAAACCTTGCACGATTTCTATTTTCAGAATTACATCAAATTTGTTGTTAAATAAGAAAAATTACATTCTTTTCCTTACGAGAAATATCTTTTTTCAAATATTCAAAATATAAATTTATAAACAAAATTATTATTTTATAAAAACGCTCTCATTAATAACAAAATAATTAATTATATTAATTTCAACATTATCATAAATTCATTATCCTAAAAATAAACATTTATATAAAAAAATTGTATTCTTTATTTTTGTTTACGTATAAATAATTTTTACAATTGTATTATTATTTAAAGAACATTTTATGTACGTATAGACAAGTAAAAATATAAAAATACATGTTTAAATATTAAAATTTAATTGACATAATGACACCAATGCGCAAACGTGTTCGTATTACGCGCGCATTAACTCGACGTTCGAGTCGCTTTGTAAGAACGCTCGCGATTGGTCGAACGAGCCGGCACATCAGTAACGTAGCAAAAAAGGGTAAAGGTAGGGGGCGCGCGAAATGGACCGATTGCGAAATGTTAATCCAACACGAATAATAAACACAATATACGAAAAAAAGCCTAAAGAACCCTTTCTCAAAAAAAGAAAGGAAAAAAAGGAACACGATAGAGAATAGGAACTCGTAGAATAAGGAAAATGAAAAGAAATTTGAGAATGTTTACAATCGTTGATGCAAACGTCAACTTTTGATGGTTCTTATTATAGATTTCCCCCTCTCTCTCTTTCTCTCTCGTTCTATCCCTTGCATTTACGCACAGTTTTCTCCCACTCATCTTCTCTCTCCGTCTTTCTCCAGCGTTATCCCTACCACCGTGCACTTGACGTATTCTGGTTCTCCGGCTGACACTTTGACGTTTTCTAGTGCAAGGAAAGAGCGCGTGTAAAAAGCCGATAAAAATATATCCGGTGTGTGAGCCATTTCATTCTACCAAAACTGTTTTCTCGTTCTGAGCCGGTGAATTTTCAGATACACGCACGTTAAGTACATATATACGTGATTATAATAAAAGGTTAGGAATTCGCGGATAGTTAACCGGAAGAGAACGGTTATTGGATAAAGAGAGAGAGAAAGAGAGAGAGAGAGAGAGAGAGAGAGAAAGATAAAAAGAGGAAGAGAGATAGAGATAGAGATAGAAGAAAGCTGTTGAAGAAGAAACTTCGTGTACATAAACATAAATCAGAGAAAGAAAAAAAGATAACTAGAAACATAACTTATATACAGAGATATACACATATATTAGATTGAAGGATAAGCGATTCGCACGTGTGTCTTTCTCGGGAAAAGGATAGGGAGAATAAAAACGGTCGTCGGCAGCAGCGCCGTCGGCGTTTATCGTCGGCGCGACGTCGGTGAGAAGGAGCAAGAAGGAACCGAGGATACGCATTCGTGATTATCTTCTCGTTACGAATACATCGAGGATTGAAATTAATTTTTAATTAATAAAAGGACACATATAAAGACGAGTCGACGTTGCTACGCTCCTGTAAATTAAAATCGAAGAAGAAGAAGAACGGGGAGTAGAAGTTTGCTGCTGTCTCTATTGTACGTTTTTGACGCATCGTACACGGAACAGGATACGACAGGACCTGGCTAACAACTGCATACACATACATATATTAATATATAACTTTGCTAAGGTATCGAAAGTAGAGAATAATTAGAAAGGAGATAGAATAAGAAGAAGTAGAAGAAGAAGAGGAGGAGGAGAAGTAGTAGAAGAAGAAGAAGAAGAAAAAGATGTCGATAACGTCAGAGGAAAGTCAAATAACAACAGTTATGGAAGAACCCAAGAAGGATACCGATTCGAAAATCGAGGATATCGTTGGAACGATTAAACGCGAGCACGATTCCACCGACGATTTCGAACGAGTCGAGCCTGAGAATTTGCTCGGGGAGTTGAGCAACAAAAAGAAGGATAATGATGATGAAAATGCTGATGGTGATTCGAAAAAGGTGAAGGGAGAGGAAAAGAAGGAGGAGGAGAAAGAGAAGGAGAAGGAGAAGGAAGAGAAGGAGAAAGGTGTGAAAAAAGAAGGTGGGGGATCTGTGGAAGAAGAAAAAGCTAAGTCCGAGGGACAACAATCATCAGTTTTGGAATCGCCACGTGTGCAAGAAGATCTTCCGGCAGCAGCAGACTCTATGGATCCCAAAGTTCAAACGGAGCATGAACAGTTACCAAGTTGTACAATACCTAAACGTACCTTCCTAAACGAACAGGAGGAACGAAAGGTGCAAAAAGAGGAGGAGCTGGGGAAGAGGGAGGAGCTGGAGGAGGAGGAAAAGGCTTTACCCGCCACCCCGCCACCTTCCGCTGATATCGAGAAATACGACTCCATGGCGGATCCGTTTCTACGGCCGGCAGGTAGGACAACTTCCGCGGAAGGGTTCAACCCCAAGGCTGCCACTGTCGCTTTCGTGGAAATTGAACGTACCGCATCGGCACCGCCACCCCAGACTTTACCAACAAGCATCATTGATAATAACCTACTCCTTGATTTCTCTGACAACAACATACCCAACACCGTGACTTCTACAACCGATATCAACAAAGACGCGTTAATATCTTCTACTACTGTTACTTCTGCTCCTGTGTCCGATCAATCGAAAATGAATGACGATCAGAGCTCTAATCTTACGAAGAAAGATATGCCGGAAATAGAAAATTTGAATTCTTCCGTACCACACGATTTTCATTATGTCCCTTCAGCTTCAAACAATCTATTCGGTTCTATTCCTATAATCAAATCAAACAAGGAAAGTACCGATATTGTTTCGAGTAGCAATCACGATTCTTCGGAAGAGAATTTCGAAAAAGATTCTTCGAAAGAGAATTTCGAAAAAGATTCTTCGAGACAATCAGTTGTTTCGGGGAGCGTTCCATTTATGCCAGATAAATTGGACCATAAAAATACAAATGAGACCGTTTCGTCGATCTCCGATAACGTCAACGAACCAACGCAAATCACAACCACAATACTTCCAACGATCAAGAGGACTGATCAAAAGGACGATAAAACACTTAATTCCACTACAAAATCCGAATCCAAAACTGCTTCTAGTATATCCAAATTGTCTACCCGGGATGATGGACAGAAAGATGTAAGGTATAATGTTGATAAACCCGAAGACAGGATTCAGGACATTGAAATAGCGCCAAAGGAAATCTTCAGGGACATGGGACTCGGTAAGTTAGACATATACATTTTTGCATAATTGTACCATCGCATCATATCGTTTAAAATTGATATATTTACTCGCTGCATTGCATCATCATCGAATGAAAAAGATTTCTTTTTGTGACACGTGCCATACATAAAGCTGATCTACTGAGAACGTTTTTTATCTCTCGAACTGATTAAAATATTTTAATAGCGTTTCGTTATCGGATAAAAATTAACAAAGGAAAGAAGACGATAGAAATCATTTAAATAATAATTATAATTTTCAATTTAACATATGAATGATACTTGATTGATAATGTTTGACATTTTCATTGACAAGGGTAGATAACAACTTTTTCTATCAACTAAATTCTTATATTAGGTTAAACCCCAAACTTATTGCGAAATATTTTGTCATGGTTGATGATGAGTCACTTTTCAAGAGATTAAAATAAACTTAAAGGTTGATTCATAAGCGAACGGAATGCGCCGAAGCATCTATACACTCATAGAGAGTTGTTTCCGACCAGTCTTGGCAGTAAAGAAGGAGGAGTAGGAGGAGGAACAACTATGTTATTTCCTTCACGTTCTTTATAACGGAAGGATATTAAGTATTGGGAGAGGGAGGGAAATGGAAGGTATAGTCATGTGACAAATATCTAAAAATAAACGATTAGCTGTTGAAAGAAAAAAAGTAAACCATTCAATTTCAGTATTAAGATGTTCGTTTAACATTTTAATACCTCCTTCCTTTGTATAACAATTATTAGCAGACTTACTTCATACAAAAAGTATTTTCAAAAGTCTTAGCATAATAATGGGATATATATGCAAAATAATTATTTTTCATACCGTATATACACACACGGTTAAGTAAATATGCAGAATTCTTCCCTCCTATAGTCCGATGATATGAATAATTATTACCGTTACGTGGATACATGCTAATCGCTCCATATGCTCATTGACCGGGCTATTCCTATAGTTTGGTCTCGTCATAATTTAATTATATTCCCGCGATTAGACACTTCGAGGATGAATAAGATTGAGAAATAATTTAACTGATAGATTTCTTTCTACGTTCTTCTTTTTTTTTTTTTCTTTCCTTATTAATAATAACACGTTATAAAACAAATTATAGATTTGGATCATCGGAAGCAAACCTAAAGTGTTGTTAATAATTAATTACTCTTCACAAAACACATCATTATAGATTAATTTTTTTTTCTTTTATAATTCATTAAAATGTTTTTAGGTTCGTGTAAAAGAACTGTTTTTTTTTTATGATCACTTATGGTCGAACCGGTAGAAAGATAAAAAGTAAACAGTTACGTTTGATGATTAATTGATATTGAAACGATAGCTTTTTTTTTGCGGATTTGCACATGCGGTCAAGGCACTTAAGATTACATCTATTTACGTTCGCCTATATTTCTCACATGTTATTTCTTATAATAATAATAATTATTATTGAAGGGATAATATGAGAGAGCGCATAATGATAGCCTTTGGTGTAACTTAAATCGTCTTAGTAAGTATTGATTACTACAGTTTATTGATCCGAACTCTCTCTCTCTCTCTCTTTCTCTCTTACTGCAGTACTCAATACATATATGTGACACACCTTTGTGCACACTGTTTCGTATTATATTCAAACATAATGACGTAATTCTATTTAGTAAAATAAATATCCATCAGGTTATAAAATTAAATCGATCAATTATATTATCAGTATGACGTATGGCCTATCTTTAGAAAGGATAAACAAACTAAATAGAAAGTTCAAGCAGTGATGATAATTGCGCAAACTGTTGAAAGATCAGACATACTATTTTTTCGTGTAATCTTTTTACATAGTTCTTTTCTTTTAACATCTGTTCGCAAATTGCATGTTTCTTATTTTGCACCTTTTTGCGTAAGCAAATTTCATTCCTAAGTAAGCAATTTCTATTTATTCAATTGTTTATAAATATACTCGTATAATATATATAAGAGTGGAAAAAATAAATCATTAGTATTAGATTTCCGAAAGAAAAATTAGAAATCTAATTATTTTTATACTGTTTTTATTATAATATTTATAGTAATTGTCTCGTATAATTTACAATATAAATTTGATTTAAAATGTTAGTCCCATCTTGCCAACAGTGTAAACTCTAGTTGATAATATTGATATTCTTTTTACCGACCGTATAACGAATTTACAGTCGGTATGGTAGGTTTTTATATATCAGATGTAATCTAGTGAGAGAAAGTAGGAATCTTCTTTTTCATAGTAACTTGAAGCAAACGCGTAATTTAACATTAATTGTAAGTAAGTAAATTGTACTTGAGTGTTAGATTCTTGCCAAGGAATTTCAAGGATTCTTTATGCCTCTAGTCTGTTAATGTCAGGCATTTAATGTCGGTCAACGTTGACAGAGGTCTCGGCCATCCTTCTAAAAGTAACGTCATTTTCCGGGTTTAGTCATGATTTAGTCTGGAAGCTGGAGTGGTGACCTCGGGAGAGAATTTCTTGGCTGGTCTTCTCAGATTTCTAACTTGTAGTATATACGATCGGATTTCAAATATTCGTAGCCTTAGAAAAAAAATCGTGACAGTGAAAATTCTTGGAGGGCTGCCATATCGATTTCCTTTTGTGATATAATAATATCCAAGGAATTAAAAAAAAAAAAAAAATAGAAAGAAATAAGATAACTATAATAAAAATAATAATTAATTTTTCTTTATCAAAAAATTGATAGTAGATATTATAAATTATTAGTTTCTCAACTACGCGTATTGTCGAATAAAAGGTCTAGACTTCTTTTTTAGAAAGTAACGCAAGTAAGATCATACTAAATTCATTGAGTCTAGTTTAGTGCGTGTTCGATATATACCCCACGAAGAAGGCATAAGGTCTTACAGTCTATTACAGTCTGAGGGTTTGTCTTTGGTTTACGTGGGCGCCTATATGTCTCCTGCAAATAGTCGTTCTAATCCCTCGACCAGTAAAGTATCTTGTTTCTGACCCTTCCTTCTTCCCTGCTCACTCATTTATTCATAAAGCTCCCTCCGCTTTTGAAATTAGCGCATGCGTCTTAGGGTTACTTTCGAAACAATCGATGGACGATCGAATAAATATAAAACTACGTGTATCGCGAATTTTCTTCTTTTACGATTAAACATAATAATCGCGAATAAACATTCGTAAGAGAAAAAAAAAAAGATTATAAATGAAAAGTATTTAATATCTCAAATTGATATTTAATTTGAAAATTGGCGGTATTAAAGTAGATCTTGTATATAGTTTGAGATATCGTCACCGGAGGTAATCAAAGCGCTGTAGTCGAAGTTAATATATCGATGCGCGGTGAGAGGCAAGTGTAGTATAAAGGTGGAAACGAACGGAAAATATAAGGGAAAGGGTGATGAGGTTTGTGGCGATGGTAACATGGAAGGATAGAAGAGTAGGATAGGATAGGAAAGGAAGAGAGAGAGAGAGAGAAAAAGGGTATAGTAGAGTAGAATAGAGTAGGGAGTTCCGCAGGAAGAGAAGGGGGATGGATGCAGGGAGGGGTCGGAGCTAAGCGCGGGTCGATAACAGCCTTCAGTTCTCGAACGACGCGCGCGACTCCCAAGTTTCATTTTCGACGTATCAAATTCACCGAGCGGAATTTCATTCAAAAGGCATTTAAAGCCTCGTGCTAAAAGGATTTAACAAAGAGGAGTTAGTAGAGGGGTGAGGATAAGGGAGAACGGTAGGAAGGAAGAAAGGAATAAATAAAAAAAAAGAAAGAAAGAAAGATAGATAGAAACAAACAAACAAACAAATTTGGTGAGGAGTCCTCTTTGGGAGAGTGTCAGGGCCGTATATTTCGTGAGATAAATTGCGTGGAAAAAAAAAAAGGACTCGTTGTTGAGCGACGGCGCGTTCCTCATCTTTTTTTTTCTGCGCATCCAACGTAGAGAAATTGCGTATCAGGTACGCCCAGCAGTTCTCGTCGACGACTGTGCCGACCGATTCGGCAGGGGTGTTTAGTTCTTTACGAGAAGAAAGAAAAAGGCATCGGCGCCGTGAAATATAAAGAGAAAGACAGAGAGAGAGAGAGAAACAGACAGAGAGAAAGACATACAGTGACAAGGAAGAAAGGAAGGAAGAAACGTAGATACGAGCCGAATTGTTCGCAGTGCGGAGCGACACTTGCGTCCTCTTATTCTTTTTTTCTCATCTGATATTTATTATATATACATAAATATCATATATAGATATAGATATATATTTGATTGTTACTCTCTCTCTCTCTCTCTCCCTCTCTCTTTTTCTCTGTTTTTCTTTCTTTCTTTCTTACTTTTTAACTTTCCTTCCGAAACATTAAATTATCTCGTTTATTCTTTCCCTCGTAATCCTCTTTTTAATCTTTTTGACTTTCACCCCGGACGAGTTTAAAGGTTAAGGGAAACGTAAAGATATCAACAGTGACGTATACGTTCTCGTGTTACTTTTTTTCTTTTTTGTTTTCTAGTCTCCGGCGGTGTTTTGAACAACTATTATTAAACTGTTACTACTACTACTACTACTACTATAAAATTATTATCAATAACAGCAAGACTCTAATTCTTCTACGCGCAAGTAGTCCTCGTCTTTAATCGTCGTCTTTGAAAACGGTGTGTTAATAAATCGCTTTAGACTTTTTTCCTTGTGTGTGCACGCGCCCTAATAGCCAACGTCGATATCTTCTACTCGATAAAAAGAACAAACGTATATAATATATTGAAAATATTAAAAACATGGATTCGGAGACTGTAGCACCGGCGTCGTGCCCAATTCCGGAGAAAGAAAATTCCGCGCGGAAGAGCAACAACGATACCACCACCAATGCAGTTGTTACCAACGTTAATGCTACTGGCGTTCCCTGTTTCTGGAATATTCTTAATCCTAGTAAGATTTTTCGTATCAATCATGTTTTATTTTTTTTTTTTACTATTCTCGCTTCATACATTCTTTTTTATTTTTTCCTTTATTCTTTTATTTTATTTTGTACGGATTTAATATATCTTTCCAGTTGTTCATCATAGTTATCATCGTCGTCATCGTCATCGTCATAATCGTTAACATGGTCATCCATTTTCTTCATTCCATTTTTTTTCAAACAGGACAAAGTGCAGCGTTACGTCTAACGTTGAAATTTTATCCTATAATATTTTTATCTTTTGATTTTATTTATTTTGTGTGTGTGTGTCATATATTTATGTTTTATTATTATTATATATTATTTTCTTTTACCGCATCCTGCAAATATAATAAAAATCATATGCGATCCACGCCATTTTTAAAGAGCACAAAAGGCTCTAATACACGATGGAGATAGAAGAAGAGGGTCGGTCGATTCAGCTGCTGCGATTCTGGTCGTTCCTGTTCCTCACGCGTACTTTGACTCGTCCATACTTACACATACATTTATACTTTAGTATGTATGTATTCATATACATGTACATCATACACACACACATACATCTTTATACGTGAATCGAGGAAAAGGAATAACACAAAGTTAACTCATACTATATCTCAGGTGTAAATACTTTTTCTAATGTGTTATTTACAGTATTTTCTTCTTATTCTTTTTCTTCCTTTTTTTTTTTTCTTTTTGTTGTTTTTCTCGTGCTTACGATAATTAGTTTCGCTTACCACCCATAATCTTATCGACCTGACATCTATTCGCGACTCTCTTTCACACCATGAAAATCAATAAGACTTTCTTTTAGAAAACCTCTTTCCCGTTTAGTCAAATACCCTCCTACATAATAAACACATTTCCAAACTCGCATGTATATTCTTTTTTATATGTTTCTATTTTAATTTTATTTTATTTTTTTAATAATATTGTATTCGTTGATTTTGTTTAAAACTTTTTTCATCTCCTACTATTTCGATAAAATTATTCCTCATTTAATGAGAAGTTTATTCACGTAGTTCTATGCTGCAGCAGACCCTGCGCAGTATGGCTCTTGACTCTCGTAGTTGAGAGAAGTGTCCGGAATCAAAACTGGGTTATCGATCATTATATTAATTCTCGGATTAAAATTATGCGAGCAAAACTTTCCTATCGATTTCTTCCATATCTTTTTCATAATTTTCCTTTTTTTTTCCCCCCCCCCCCTTATTTTTGTCTTTCCTTCTTTTTTTTTTCTTTCCTTCTAAATCAATAAGTCTAACCTCTTTTTCTCAAGCATCGATAATTTCCTCTTTTATTTAACAATGAGTATATTACGTATTTTGTATCAGGTATATATTTAGAAAGAAAAATTATATATATATATATTTATTATATGTGGGAATAATTTAACGACTTATATTAGAGATTTTTACGTTGTTTTCAAAATGGCGTCGCATAGTCGTAGCAAGGTTCAAGGATCGTTGTTCTATTGACTACTTATCGTGTATATTATCTTTATGTGAATACGTATTAATATATCTGCGCATATTTAAAAATTATCTTTTAATTTTATTGACTTCTTGTGTTTTTTATCATTTCGAGTTGAAAAAAAGTAAAAGAAAAAATAGTAATGAAAATACTAATCTTTCTTATATTCGATAAGATAAATAAATATCTACAATAATATCGTTTGAATTTATACCTGACGATGATAATTCTTCGAAGATAAGAAATGTAATTTACATCATTAATTTGTAATCTATAATATTCTTTTTTTAATATAATTTCTTTTCATTATACTCCGAACACAAAAAAAAAGAAACAAATAATTCAAATGATCGAAGAAAGGAAAGACGATACTTTGCGTTTCTCCTGAGTGTATTTAATCTTTGCGGTAGATTGAAATTGAATTATGTAATAACACCCCTCCCCCCCTTCCACCGCTACCAGACGACTCCTATCCCTCTTTTCCGATGCTGTAATATCTCGATGACAAAGGCAAAAATTGCATTTGTACTTTGGTACGAAGTAGCTAGAAGGCAGCTTCATATCTTTGCTACAATAACCTGTTTATGTGCAGAAATGCTCGTACCTTTCTTGATCTATGTGCGAGTGGACGGTTGAATGTATGTGCGCGCGTGTGTGTGGTTATGTCACGATATCACTAAGTAAGCTGTATTAAGTAGTTTTATCGATACCTTCATTTAGAATGAGTCATTGAAGATATTCCTGTTGTTCTCCTATATAATCTTTTTTTTTTTTTTTTAATTTTCCTTTACTTATTTGTTGTTCCTCTGCTTTAATGTTTTTTTATTTTTATTACTAATAACTTCTGTTTTTTTTTACGATATACAACAGCTGATTTAAATAACAGGTTTAGAAATAATGATGTTTCTATTTTTAAACGAATGAAAGATATAAGACTACTAAAAATTCGTATTATTTTTATTTATTTATTATTCTTTTCTCAAGAAGATTTGTGCGCGTAGTTAATATTTAATATTCATTTGATATCCACCAATTCTCTTAAGAACCGAAAAATCTAAATTTAACTACTACTCGTCAGTCAACGTGAGCATTTCAAGCGAATGTATATTACAACTGAAGGAAAATTTACATTGTTTGTCTGTTCTTTAATGTTTTTTTTTTTTTCTTTTCTTTTTTATTCTGTTTGCGTATTATTCGCCAAGGCAGAGACATTTAACGATTTGTAAACGTAAATTCCGATACGTTTAGAAATTTGTTGATAATGCAATTTGTTTAATTCGAAATTTGTTTCCGGATATTGAAAATCTTATAAAAGAATATATTTGTATGTATAATTGAAAATAATCTTTGAACAATAATACTTATGATAGATGTATTAAGGGACAATCAGTATCATCTGATTCGAAATGTAATTAAATAATTTTATCTACGTTTAACGATTCGCGATTATATACGAATATAAAAATATCTACACGTTTATGTATATTATTTTCTTCTTTTTTTGTTATTTGTGCAACTACACGCCTATTACGTTAACGTCTTTCAGATGACATCAAAGATAAAATTCCATATAGTTATATAGTCTACTTCTGCTTCTACTTTTTTAAATTTATTTTTTTCTCTCTCTCTAAAAGAACGACCTTCAACATTTAAAACCTTCCTAGACGCGTAATAATGATAGAGTTCATCTTTGAAATTTATAAGTTTCATTTTTAGCTTTCAAGACGAATATCATCTATCATCATAATCGTCCAAGGATATATAGAAAGAGTATTTAATGAACGTTTGTTCTCCAAGTTTCTACGGTTTACGTTATTGGAAATTCTCACGTATGCGTTTAACTTACGTGAGCGATAAATTTTTAATTTGAAAATAAATAAGTATAATATATGCTCGTCGCGTTTATTTTCATATCTATGTAAAAGAAAATAACAGATTATTTCTTTTTTTTTTTTTTGTATATACCTCCAACGTATTATTTGATGAATCGTAAGAATTTTTCTTTTTCTTTTTCTTTCGTGTTGACAGTATAAATAGTTTTGCAATGATTCTATGTTTTTTTAGTATGATTTTATTAATGCATAAAGAATTATTTTAATAATAATTATTTTGATGTATCGATTAGATTTTATGTAAAATTATTATCATTGATAAATGGGAGATCAATATATTTAAATTTAATATTTTTATTTGTGCAATGTTATTTGTGTGAAAGATAAATTTTTAAAATATATATTTTAGGTATTATAATATTATTAATTATTAGTGGCAATATGTTATATTATTTGAGACAAAAAATCATTTGATGTATTCTGAATATTATAATTTTATTATTAATAATGAAATCGATATAGTTATAGTGTTTTTATTAGACGATAAATTTTCACCGATTGGACACAACGATGGTAATTTTATCCAACGTAATATTTAACACAAATATACTGTCTATTAAAAGTATAATATAATAGCATGATAAATATATTTCTATTACTTTGATCGATTTCGATGCTTTCTTTCTGTCAATATTGCAAAAGCTTTTACTAAAAAAAAAAAAAAAAAATTTCTCGTGTAACGTGTATTGCACTTTGTACTCCAATTATTCATTGATATAATCGAAATTAGAAATGAAATAAAACGTCGATTAGTCGTTGTCAAGTTGACGTGTACATTTTCATAATAGAAACAACAATATTTAAATGCATAATCATTGGTATGTTTGATTGTATCGCCATGAATGAATATATCGGAATATAACACATCGTAAGATAAATTATCTATTTCCTTTTTTCAAACAAATATTTTTCTTATTGGTTTTGCGAATGAAATTTGAATAACAACCTTTATTCGAATGAGATTACTCGTGTAATAAAATAAAACGTGCACGCACAATGAACAATGCACTGGATTCTTAATAATTAACAATTCTAACGTAAGACTATAATTACGATTAAAATCACACATTATCTGCATCTATAAAGTAGATCAAAAGGTTTTGGGTGATTTTTTCAATTTCTTTTTTCCCTCCCGAGACAATTTAGTTTAACTCATTTCGCAGATAATTAAAAATACAAGCTTGGCTTGTAATTTAACAAATTAAATAAAATTTCAAATAAAAATAATAAATTAAAAGAGAAGATCACCTAAAATCACTTTTGCGCGCATACTCTGAATCACGAATTAACAAATCATCATTTCATTGCCATGCTTCTTCTTCTTCTTACATTAATCAGTCACACAATATAACAAGTACAACAAAAGGTATATCAAAAAGAAAACAAACCCCGATCCACATCATATCGAATAACATTTGATTTCTAAATGGTGTTGGAAAAATAAAATTGTTAACATATTTCTAATTGTCTTTTTTCCAGACGCATGGTTTAACCCCGAAAGACTGAATCCGAGAGGTAAGAAAGCAAGAATGTGAGAAGGTATTTGAAAATCTATGTATGTATGTATGTATCTGTCTTGAAAAGTAGAGAGTAGAGGTATATACATATACATATATGTATCCCCTTTATTATATGTATATGATATATATATATATATCCCCTTTTTTATATGTATTTACAAACAGACAAAAAATATATCCGATTGCGTGGTAATTAATTTTTTTTCTAGCTTACAATTAGAAAAAAAAAAAAAAAGAAAAATACTTTTACACACATTAGATGACTTACTATAATGTTACATATGTATTATACTTGGGTTATATACGTCACACAAATATATATATATAAAGACGTGTATATGCGCCCTCTTACGTAGTTATTGAGCAGACTCCTCTCGAACTCTCGGATAAAACTAAATATAACGTGTGGCCAGGTTCGTTGGCCCTAAGCCAGATTTTCGAAGGCTTGTCTTTCTCTCTCTCTCTCTCTCTCTCTCTCTCTCTCCCTCTTTCTATCTTTCTCTTTTTCTTTCTCTCTCCCTTCTGTCTATCTTTCGGTAAGATTTTCTTCTTCGAGTCGACTAGTTTCCTTGGCCCGGTGTCGTCAAGCCCGGAGAGTTGTGTCTCTTCGCGTAATACCGTTCGCCCACCTAATCCAAGGATCGATACGCTTTTATCGCGACCTCGTGCGTGTTGTCTCCATTGTCTTCCATCTCTCTCTCTCTTTCTGTCTCATACACATATACACACAAATTACATATTCGTTCTGTCTATGTATACTGTGTGTTTGTGTTCCTGTGTCTGTCTGTCTGTCTTGTCTGTCCTGGGTTAAGTTATTTCTTTCTGCCCTTCCTACTCGTCCCTTCTTCTTCTTCTTCTTCTTTTTCTTCTTTTTCATCTCCCCTTTCTTATCCCTTGTTCAATCTAACAGAACGTCTCGATCTATTTCCAAATTGTGTGACCGTAGTTACTTACCTACCTCGACCAGATCTTTCGTAATTGGTGCTTACATACAATACGGTGAAAATAAGGATAATTAATAATAATAATAATAATAATAATAATAGGAATATAGGAATAATAATTGAATTATCGTTAATCTGAATTTACCTGGATTATTCCGTATCGTTGAAAATATGGCCATTACGAAAAAAACACGTGAGTAATTTTTATACTGAAAGAGAGTGAGAGAGTAGAGTGTGTGTGTGTGTGAGAGAGAGAGAGAGAGAGAGAGAGAGAGAGAGAGAGAGAGAGAGAGAGAGGAAATAAGTGTATATCATGTTTTATTCATTATTTTTATTGATTTATATGCGTATTCGGATTTTGATTGATATGATATTTTAATGATTAATATTCAAGTTTCAAATAATTTTCTACGTTTGCATATAGTAATTTTAACCTGTTCTACAAATCAATCCAAAGTATTTAATTCGCATAAAATTTAGAAAGTAGATATTATAATTTCGAAATAATTTAAATATTCTATATCTGAGATATAGCAGTTATATTGAATTAAAATAAATAATAAAAAGAATAAAAGAGAGGGACAACGTTTTGATAAATGAAGAGATTCTTCTAATTACAAATTCTCGAAATAATCTTTAGGAATTTAGGTGTAGAACCTATTACATAAATATTCTTTTTCTTAGAACGTTCCATAAATTAAATTCGTTCACGTGTTTAACGCACACGTTTTGATTTCGCGTTGGAGTGTATGTATATATATATATATATATATGAAATTTACCCCACCAGAATTTATATATATACACTTGTTCTATATATATATGTAAAGTTAGAAAAAGAGAGGGAGAGAGAGAAAGAGAGAGAAAAAGAGAGAAATACACAGAAAGTACACATACTCTTTACATTATTCATGACACCGTAATATAGGTTGGTTGCACTCAAGATAATAAAATTTCAACTTTGAATGAATTCGTCCCTTAGCCAAATAACAAAAACAACATAATATTAAACACATACATATAAATATAATATACATATATTATAATATATTTTATGTAGATATATTATATTTTTAAATTCAAGTCCAGTAAAACGATGAATCATATTTTTTTTTCTGAAATATTTTTTAACGAAAGATATAACTGTATTTCGCTAACGTATACCGGAAATAAAAAGATATATCATTAATATTCTACAACGAGTAGAAATCGACGAACGTTATTCTTAATAAGAAATTGATGATAGTTAATCGTTATTCATAAAGAAGCACTTGCAAAAATCAAAACTGTAGATCCATTAAAGGAACAGGAAAGTTTCTTTTCTTTTTTTGCAAGTATCACATATATGGTAAAGTTTCTACGTGATTTTTTAAATTAATTACTTCATTTTGAGACTTTTTAAAATGACCTCTCTATTGCCATATTCTACAACTTAACAAGCTTAACTATTACAAAGTTTTGAACTAATGAAATTTATTTGAAATATCATGGGAGATACTATTAACCCAGTCTATTTTTATTTAATGGCAAGATAATTCTAGCTGTTACATGGTTAAAATTTGAGAAATCTCAGGAAAATTATAAGAAATAATATTTCGCGCACGTGATAATGACATAGTTACCGATCGTTCACCGCTCGCTATAAATATTTCTTAAGTAGTTGCTACGCATTTATAAGAGGGTTCAACAGCTCTCTTTTTCTCTTTCTCTCTTTCTTTCCCTCTCTCTCTCTCTATCTCCCTCTTTTTGTTTCTATCTTTTTCTAATCATGGATTACATTTGGTTAATGCTAAACACGTTAGAAGAATGGTTGAAAATGTTTGATTTAATCCTGAGCAGTCCAACGACGCATGTAAATGTAAATTCTTTGTGTATGTATATATGTGTATTATAGTTTTGGCAAAGGTTGAAAGAAAATCTCTGGCTTGTCGCTAGTCCGCGAGCTACAGATTTATTAAGACTATGGCTGAAAACTGAATCATCGCCAAATGAAATTGCGAAAATCTTTATGCCTGCTTCGGGATGAGAGATATGCCTGCTGCTTCGTCTAGATCACTCGCCAGCCGATTGCTACGTTCTAATTGTATTTATTATTAGAACTTTACCTATTTGGTTATCTTTCTTTCTTATACCAAAATAATATGGAAAATTTGTAGAGATTATTTTATATATATATAGTGAAAATATATTTATTTTCAAAAATGAGGACGTGATGCAACAGAATTGATTAAAAAATTTTTAATAATATAATAATNTAAATATTGGTACTGCAATAAATGAACATAATTTTTCTCTATTATAATAATTTCAATATTAAATACAATCCTTCTTGTTTAATATGTTCCCCTAACCTGTTAACTGTACCCAAAAATTATTTAATCGATCATATTTTACCCTATAAATTTCATCAAAATTAAATACAAAGCAAACATTAATAAATACAAAACCTTTATTCGTTAAACATAATTTTGATTAGCAACAAAATAATAACAGATCAATCTTATATATTTTCAATTGTTTTTTATTCTTTTGAACAATTTGAAATATTAATGAAATTTATTAGAAACTTTGAAAGATAAACCTGTATTATGAACATCCTTTTCCTTTCTACATTTATTACACGTATACACAGACACACATACACACACACATGTACTCTCAGTTTCCGTCTATTCGATTATCCTCCGCCTAATTCTCCTTGGATTTAACTTCCTTATACACCATACCACCCTTTTAACCCTTTCCCTTACCCTCTCATTCACTCACTCTGATTTTCCTTTCCTATTAACAAACAACAATGTATTACAATGACGTCTGAGAGTAGACCAACCCGCGACGTCTTAATAGATCCTCACAAATGTGAGTAACAATTAAAGTTCGAACTTTGTAAGGAAACAGATGTCACTTACCTTTCACAAACGAATTGTTGAAGTTAACGACCCTTAAATAAAACTACTTATAATTTTTCTTCATCTTTGTCATACATTGTGTGTATAGTATTATATATATAAATAATATAATAATATATATTTATTATAATTAAAAAATAATAAGAAAAAATACTTATAACAATATTTAAATACAATTTTGTATTTATTTATAAAGTACGAACAGATAATAATTTTACAATTTAAATTCTATCGAGATGTTTATTATTTAAAATGAAAAAATTCAAGATGGCCGACTTTACATATATAATCAAAAGATTAAAACAATAATTAATAATAATAACTATAATATAATAACATACGATGTGATAAGAATAAATATTCGATGAAATGTGTTATTAGAAACGAATAAAAGACTTTTTTCTTGTGGATGATATATTAAAAAATTGGAAAGTTCCTTATTCTTGGAATAAACGGCGTGTCGCGTTTTGTAGTTCCTGCGGATACCGAGGAAATCGGTGATGGCGTTGATATCGTTTTAACCACGCGGCGGCCCGGTGTGTGATACACACGGATCTATAATCGCGCGTGCGCTTGCATATACTACAACTTACGTACGTAGCATTTTACGACGTCTTAAAAATTTCTCGCGTGGAAGTTATATACGTTACTCTACGATAATGACAAGAAGAAACGTACAGAAAGCTACGGTGAAAGTTTTGCCGGATGAGAATGCCGGTGAGTTATTTGTTTTAGTTTAAAAAAAAAAGAAAAAAAACGAGAAAAAAAATACGCGTATGATATAAAAAATTTATACTCCTTTACTTTATGCTAATCGATGTGTCAAATTTCAACATATGGTCGAATTAACCACGCGACTTTAAAACCTATCATTTTATTAATTATAACAGTAACTTGTTAGTATTGTATTTATATTCATTCGAAATAAACCGCGTTTAATTCATATATAAACAAAAATATAATATATTCTACATTAATTTATTGAAAATTTAAATAAGAATGAATCTGTTCGATTTCATGGAGTCCACATGGCAACTAATTAACAAAGAATATTTATAAGATTCATAAGAGTTAAACAAAATACTATATATATATTTCCGTGAAATTTTTTATTATTCTCTTTTTATTCAAATTTTTTTTTTAATCGTAGGTTTATAAATATAAAATTTAGAAAATATATACTTGCAAGTGTACTTACATTACCAGATTGTTTCATTATAATGATTATCACGTAATTACCGTAATTGAGAAACAATAACAAAAAAAAAAATAATTCAAGAGATTAAAAGAAGTAAAGCTTTAAAAAAAAAAAAAAGAAATGAAAGAATAAAGGGGGAGATGGCTAAGGGTTATTAGACTGTAACAGAATAACAGTACGACTCATCCTCTTCAACAGGGGAACCGTTTGTTCAATGCAGCAGCTATGAAACTCGTTTGACGCTTTTGTGTCGAGGAAAGCATTTTACCGCGATAACAAGTATCCGTCTTTTATGTGAATTATTTTTATTGTTTCTAGTATTATTTTTAATAATAGAACATTATTTTTTCCAGTACACGATTATTAATAATACGAATATAGTAATATTACACGATTTTTTTTTTTTTTTTTTTTTTTTTTTATAATCTTTACTGAATATGTAACGAATTTGTATGTTTAATTATAATTAATGTTAATTATATGTTAACGTGAACGAACTATTGGAAATATTTNTTGTGTCGAGGAAAGCATTTTACCGCGATAACAAGTATCCGTCTTTTATGTGAATTATTTTTATTGTTTCTAGTATTATTTTTAATAATAGAACAAATCTATTTCTATTATAAGAAATATTCTCAAACGTACGTTGTAATCTTATTTTGTATTTTTTTTTTTTTTTTTTTTTTTTTTTTTATTTTATAATCTTTACTGAATATGTAACGAATTTGTATGTTTAATTATAATTAATGTTAATTATATGTTAACGTGAACGAACTATTGGAAATATTTCATATTGTAAATTATCAATGTTATATTATGTGTCTGTAAAGAAAAAAAGTTTTATTTTACAAAAGTAGCATAACGTATAAAGTAGCAATTCATTATTCGTATAAATGAATAAAATTAATGTATGTCCTATATATGTGTTTTTCTAACATAAGCATAGAATAATCATAATGATATTTTAACGTAATTCTTATTGTGCAGTGGCCACTCTGATCTACTGGCGCGATCCAAAAAAATCAGGAGCTGTCTTTGGAGCGACTTTAGGGCTGCTTTTGTCGCTGGCCTACTTCAGTTTGATCAGCGTACTTGCTTATTTATCATTACTCATTCTTATCGCCACGGTAGCCTTCCGTATTTACAAAAGTGTACTTCAGGCTATTCAAAAAACTTCAGATGGACATCCATTTAAGTAAGTTTACTTTTCTTATTAAGTTTAACACTATAAAACAAAAAATAAGCTTGTGTATATACAGAGTACAGTAAATAATCCAGTACAAAAGAATATTAACAAATTAATTATATTTCTTTTGTTTTTTTAGATATGTTCTTGACCTAGACCTTACATTACCCACTGAGAAAGTACACGAACTCGCGGATATCGCTGTTGCTCATGTGAACGCAACCATAAGCGAATTGCGTAGACTCTTCCTGGTAGAAGATATCGTTGATTCGCTCAAATTTGGCGTTTTGCTTTGGTGCTTCACTTACATTGGCTCATGGTTCAATGGAATGACTTTAATAATCATAGGTCAGTATATTAAAAAAAAAAAAAAAAATTATAAAAACTTTCTTTCTCAGAAGCAATAAAATTTTGTTACATTTTTATGATTGCATTATTTCAGGTGTTGTTGCACTTTTCACGCTACCAAAAGTGTACGAAACGAATAAAACACAAATTGATGAGAATCTGGCTCTGGTTAAGGGAAAGGTTGATGAGTTTACAGCCAAGTATGTGATTATAAAATTTTCTTTTCATTTTTATACACGTGCTATAAGAAGTATTTATTAATTATTGTGATATAATTTTTTGTTAATAGGATAAAGGCTGCCATCCCTTTAGTTAAGAAACCCGAGCCAACGAAGGAAGATTAAGAATCGCGTACATGTTGAGATGTTTCAGCAGAACGTTTGATAAGAACAGAAAGGATTATAATTATAAAAGGCATAAGAAACGCAGAAAGTGAAATAAATGAAGAAAATATAAGAGCGCCGCGTGTGGATAGAACAATATATGAACGCGAAATGAAAAGAAAAAATAAAAGAAGCTTGACCGGTTGGATGTAATTTGCGATTGCTTGAAAAAAAATGTAGGAAAGCGACACTGTGAACAAGAATGTCACATATGTTGAATCTTCTGTCTTATGATGCATTAAAAACAAAAAAAAAAAAGAAAGAGAAAGAGACTGCTCTTTGTAAGAAAAGCGACGGAGAAATATAAAAGATGATCGAATTCGAAAGATTCAACGGTCCCATGCACTCATTGACATTTTGTTCACAAGTATCTTTATTATGAAAGACAGAAAGAAGGTATATAATGCTTAGCAATTAATCAATCATTCATTAACTATGATACAATGGTGGCATATTTTAACTAGCTGTAATAAATAATGCAATCTCTTATGCGAGGATACTTTTTAGAAATCTGTTTCGTCGTAATCTTCTAACTAACGTGTTTCATGATTATCGCTATCCTTCACTTTATTACGTCCACTTGTTTTTGACGATAAAATCATCGATATATGGCTATCGAATGCGCTATATATGTGTTTGTGTGATTAAATGTCAAGAGCAAGGGGTACTGTTGTACAACATATGGTAGTCTTAAGTTTTATTTTAATAAAATAAGTTTATCCTTTTCTTTTATAAAAATGATTTCAAAGGACAACAATATAATGTGTAACAGTTCCCCCAGTTTTTCCGCAGTGTCTTATGTTGTTTGTTAGCGCGTTTGAAAATCGAGAGAGAAATTATAATGCAAATTATACAGTGTATATTATGTCTAACAACGTTGACATTTACATAATATTATCATAATTACAATTATTAATTATAATTAAATTTTTAATATATGTATATATAACAGGGTAAACCTATCCAATTCAGTGATATTAAAACTTTCGTAAAAGGAGGTTGATGTGAAAGTGTATTGATTTATAAATGTAATATTACGATAATAACAGAAAATTTATTATTTAATTAAATAGGCAAAAAAAATTATATAATATTATTTTTATTATTTTTAAATTTATATCATTAGATGACTTAAAGAGAAAAGTAAAATGTTGTTTATTTAAAATCAAATTTAATCCTTTTTTCGTTATGCTTGATCGATGCAGACCTAACTATGATGACTGTTGTGAAACTAGATAGGTTTCCCTGATATCTGTGTGCGTATATGTATATATGTATATATATATATATATAAATATAAAAATATATATATATATACATATATATATATCTATATATAAATATAAACCAGGTACATACATATGCAATGTGAAATACATTGTATATTATACACGTTAATTATAAAAGAAAAAGAAGACATGAATTTAATTGTAAAATTGTTGCACGAAAACAGGAGGCGGAACACGTTAGACTGCTAAAAATGGAAAAGTGTCACTTTATATTCTATCATGGTACCTATCTAGGTCAAGACCACACGTTTGTATTAAAATTGACAGCAAAATGTTGACAATGTAAAATGTAATACGCGTATCGCTTCTTGAAGTTCTCATTATTGCATCTGCATCCATACGATTAATTTATAAATAAAATTACATTGAATAAGATATATCATTGGGCCTTTAACGTCTCTACTTTCCGTGTTTTTCAAACATATCCATATCCAATATTTCTTTAATTTACCGATTATTATTTATTTTATATTATAAAATTAAGTTTCTTTTTTATTTTTTGACGTAGTCTATATAGACACGTATTAATTCAAGATTCCAATAATTACTTTAAAATGATGTCTCTTTTACGGAGAGGATGTTTTAGATGAATGACTGAGTCTCCAAATTATTTTTTTTTAAATTAAATTTACCAAATTCAATCATTCACATTTTGGATCTTAAATATGAACAGATCTTTTATTTTCTAAATTACTTCTTAAACAATCTAATAGTATTCGCGATTGTCGTGGAATAGCGGCAAGATTTAAAATGTGACATCTTTTGCGCTTGCGCAGGAGTGAAGAGTGAATGCGCATGCGCGACCTTATAGAAGGTGAATGTGTGTCTCTATTTGTTGGCAATATGTTCTATTCGCTTTCGGCGAGCCAAAGCGAGTGCTTGTGTGTGTCGTCACGAGTATCTCATACTATCTCTTTTTCTCTTACTCATTGTCAGTCATTCACTTTCTCTCTCTCTCTCTCTCTCTCTCTCTCTCTCTCTCCCTCTTTCTCCCATTCTTTCTCTGACATCAAGTGTGTAGTGTTTAATTCTTTTTAAACTTCCTCATACAATTATTATAGATTAAGACTTACGCATTGTAATTAAATAAATCATCATGTCGCTCGTCGATCAAGATCACGAGAAGAGAAAACAAATTTCCGTACGTGGTATCGTTGATGTCGAAAATGTCGCGAATTTTAAGAAGACGTTTAACCGGCATCTTCATTACACTTTAGTCAAAGATCGTAACGTTGCTACAAGTCGAGATTATTTCTTTGCTTTAGCACACAGTGTCAAAGATAATCTTGTATCTAGATGGATTCGAACACAACAATATTATTATGAAAAAGATCCTAAGGTAAGACAATACTTTTATGTGCTCTTATCCTTACTTTATTAATTATGTTTAGCTCTTCCTTTACCTTACTTGACCTTCCTTTTTTTTCCTTTGCAACTCCTCTTATAACTGGATCAACAAGATTGGCAAGATTAACTTCAAGTTTTGGAATTAATTATATAAGTATATGCTTTTAACTCATGCAATCTTTTAATCATCTTAGAGTCTATTAAAATATCAAATAAAAACAAATGAATATAATTAACTAATAAATTGTCTTTAAAATATTGTTTACAGTTTCATATAAAAAAATGATTCATTGAGAGAAAATATATTATATGTTTCGGTGTATATTGAACATAAAATATTTTCTTACATATAGTATCGCTTTAATCATTTTTTCTACACCGATATTCAATTTCTTATTACCAATACTAGTATTCTAATGAAATTTACTTTAAGAGTAAGTGATTACATTATTTAACAAATGGTTTCAATGAAGTAACTACTTCATTAAGATCATGCGCTTAACAAATAGTATAAATGTATTAAAGAATTCTCTTCGCAATCAGATTTTTTATCCTTGTTGACCCGATGATGTATGATGATAGGCAGTATTGAAAATGTAGGTCAAGAAATAAATATAGTAATGCCAATTTTATATAGGCATCTTCGATGACAATTATTTGAATGATTTATTCACAATAAAATCTGTTTGTTAACATAATCAACAATTCCTTATAATATGCATTGATGTTATTTACATTAAGAAAAAGAAATAAAAGAATTTAATGCACTATTAGAGAAAGAAAAATATGTCTTAACGCTATAATAGTAATTTCATTATTTGTAATTAAGAATGAACTTTAAAATTTAGCGAAATAATCAGTTTAAATGATTATTATAATACGTATTTATCTATTCTCTTGATGATATGAAAGTGATGGACGAAAAAGACAGTGCAACATTTATTTTTGGGCATGCAGTGTCCCTGTGAACATGAAAAGAGATTACATCACTCTAGCATTGAAAGTTTATCATATTAAATTCTTCATGTTCAATTAGACTCTTTTGAACTCGTTCTTAATTCGCTAACATTTGAATTCCTATTTTCATATATCTTCGTTTTATCGTATTTGTATATTTTCTTATTATTTTTCTATCTTTTTACTTTTTATTATTTTAAAAAAGAAAAAGATGAAAATTCTTTTCTTTCATTTCTGTTTGTATTTTTTGCAAATTCTATCAGATGTATACTTGCACTTTGCACATTGCAAAACGATCATTTTCAATACAATGCCAGAAAGTCTTAACTATATTTTCATAAACTTTTGGATTTAATCCCAAAACAAATTGGACCTATAGATTCTAAGAATTCACGTGATTCTCTTTCGGTACTTTTCCTCGCTTTAGTAATCCAGACAAATTGTCTAACGTAATATCGAATTTATTACAAAGAGTAGTAGTAAATGTGCTTTTCGAAAATATCTAATTTAAGATATCGTTTAATGTGTTATTTAGCTCGTTAAAAGAAGAAAAAAAAACAAAAAATAAATGAAGAATAAATCCGAGTACGAAAATAATTCGTAAAACGAATGAGTTTTACCAGAGGAAAAATTCAAAATTATATTCTTCGCAATGGCCATTTCATTGTGTATTTTATTAAATAAAAAGATTACGGATAATTAAATTTTTATTATTTTTTTTTTTCAGGACAGAAAATACGTATTTACGATAAGGGTATTTTTGTGTTATATTTTCAAATCGGTTAGTGACCTCATGCGAAAGATCAATTTATTTTTATCCTATGTTATAGTCTTTGCATTTTAGTCCTATCACGTGTAAAACATTTTGTTTTATAATTCTTTCGTAAAAAATAGAAAATTGTTTTTCAATCATATGCTAAAAAATTAATCAATTAATAATAATAAAAAAAAATAAAACAATTATGTCTAACGAATATTCGATATTATTTTAATAATATAAAATAGGAGTATCGGGTATGTTCATTCGATAGATGACTTTGACATGACCTTGAGCAAGTCAGGAGACACATGCGTGATCTATCATATCGAATGTCCTTGTTTTATAAAGTAACTAATTATTGATCACTATAGGTCATTTAAACTGACTTTAAAATTCATTTTTAGTTGATATATATTATTAGACGTTATTATATTTATCGTTAAGTTATGTATCACTGAAAGTAATGATCGTAATTTATTATATAAGTCGAGAAAAAGATCTTTGAGTGGCGATAACGAATTATTGATCTGAAATATTATTTTTGATTTTAGAGAGTATATTATCTTTCTCTCGAGTATTACATGGGAAGGGCATTGCAAAATACGATGATCAATCTGGGAATTCAGGGTGCGTGCGACGAAGCTATGTATCAGGCGAGTAAAACAACAATTTTGTCTGAACAAACAAATATATGAAATTTTTCTTTTTTATTTATATATTTATTTGAACTAATATACAATTTTTTTTTAATATTAATTATTTTAGACAGACTTATTTTCTTTGTTATTTATTTATTTAAAATTAATTTATTAGAATTCGTTATCTTTTGAGATATTTTTTTATTTATAATATTTTTATTAATAATATTTTATAGATGGGTTTGGATATAGAAGAATTAGAAGAATTAGAGGAGGACGCTGGTCTTGGAAATGGTGGTTTAGGAAGATTAGCCGCTTGTTTCTTAGATAGTATGGCTACTTTAGGTTTAGCTGCTTACGGTTATGGAATACGATACGAGTATGGTATTTTCGCGCAAAAGATTAAGAACGGAGAACAAGTTGAAGAACCGGACGATTGGTTGAGGTATGGTAACCCTTGGGAAAAAGCAAGACCTGAATTTATGCTTCCTGTTAATTTCTACGGCCACGTTATTGACACTCCTGAAGGCAAGAAATGGGTGAACACACAGGTACGTATCATAAATTATTTCACACGATATTGTGTGTGTGTGTGTATAATTAATATTTATTGTAATTTATATTTATATTTATAGGTCGTGTTTGCTATGCCTTATGATAATCCAATTCCTGGATATAAGAATAACGTTGTTAACACGTTGAGATTATGGTCTGCTAAATCACCGATTGAATTCAATTTGAAATTCTGTAAGTAATTCCATTAAAGTGTGTTTTTTATTTTCACTTGAAAAATTATGTCATGTAGTTTTTATTATTAATTACTATTATGTTTGTGGTTCTTTTCTTTTTTTCAGTCAACGATGGTGATTACATTCAAGCAGTCATCGATCGTAACTTGGCAGAAAATATAAGTCGAGTTTTATATCCAAATGATAATTTCTTCGAGGGAAAAGAATTAAGATTGAAACAAGAATATTTCATGGTAGCTGCTACACTTCAAGATATTATTCGTCGTTACAAAGCTAGCAAGTTTGGATCGAAGGAACATTACAGAACCGATTTGGATGCTTTCCCTGATAAAGTAGCAATTCAATTGAATGATACTCATCCTTCGTTAGCTATTCCCGAACTTATGAGAATTCTTATCGACGTTGAAGGTCTTTCATGGGATCAGGTAAACCATTTATTATTCATTGGACAAGATATTGTATTAGAAATAATTGATATTATTTATTATGTATGAAATTTCTTATTTTAAGGCTTGGGATATAACAACGCGAACATGTGCATATACAAATCACACAGTTTTACCAGAAGCACTTGAAAGATGGCCGACTAGCTTGTTAGAAAGCATTCTTCCACGACACTTGCAAATCATTTATCATATTAATCATCTACACCTTGAACGAGTCGCTGCCAAATTTCCCGGTGATATGGATCGTCTTCGTCGTATGTCATTGATTGAGGAGGAAGGTGAAAAACGGGTGAATATGGCTCACTTATCTATCGTCGGTAGTCATGCCATCAATGGTGTTGCATGGATACATTCAGAAATTTTGAAAGATACAGTGTAAGTACATAAGAATGGATTTATTTAATTTAGAACATTATTTGAGAAATAATTGATTGATTATAATGATTTATTTTGCAAACAGATTTAAAGATTTTTATGAATTGAATCCAGAAAAATTCCAAAATAAAACTAATGGTATTACGCCTAGAAGGTGGTTACTTCTTTGCAATCCTAATTTATCTGATATTATTGAAGAAGTATGTATTGCTCACTTTTCTTTCTTTTTATTATAATCAAATACAAATGTGCTATAATTTTTGTTTCTATTTCGAAATTAATAGAAAATAGGTAGCGATTGGGTTGTACATTTGGAACAATTGAAACAACTCAAACAATATGCCAAGGATCCGATCTTCCAAAGAGCAATAGTTAAAGTTAAACAAGAAAATAAATTACGCTTGGCACAAATTCTAGAGAAAGATTACGGTGTCAAAATAAATCCTGCATCAATTTTTGATATTCAGGTAGGAAGCAATGACAATTTTTATTACATTACATTATTTAATCCTTGAATTTATTAATAAAACGTGATGAAATTGTAGGTGAAACGTATCCACGAATACAAACGACAATTATTAAATTGTCTTCATGTTATTACGTTGTACAATCGTATAAAAAAAAACCCATCGGCACCGTTCGTGCCTCGAACTGTTATGATCGGTGGAAAGGCGGCACCGGGTTATCATCTAGCTAAAAAAATAATTAAACTAATCTGCAGCGTTGGAAATGTTATCAATAACGATCCCATCGTAGGAAATAAATTGAAATTGATTTACTTAGAAAATTATAGAGTGACTTTGGCTGAAAAAATTATTCCAGCCGCGGATTTGAGCGAACAGATTTCTACCGCTGGTACTGAAGCTTCGGGAACTGGAAATATGAAGTTTATGGTAATAATAAATAAACTTATTAATATCATATATATTTAATTTGCTAAATGAAACAAAAATAAAAAAATACAAAGAGATATTTAATATTTTAGTTAAACGGTGCTCTTACAATTGGTACTTTGGATGGTGCAAACGTAGAAATGGCGGAAGAAATGGGGAATGAAAATATATTCATATTTGGCATGACTGTGGAAGAAGTTGAAGACTTGAAAAGAAAAGGCTACGATGCTTATTCTTATTACAACAAATTATCAGAAGCAAAACAATGTATCGATCAAATTCAAGGAGGTTTCTTCAGTCCTAATAATCCAGACGAATTTCGAGATATCGCCGATGTTTTGCTTAAATGGGATAGATTTTATCTTTTAGCAGATTACGAAAGCTATATTCGTATGCAGGAACACGTCAGTGAAGTGTATCAGGTAATTGAAATGAATCATTTGAATATTTTCGATAAAACTAATTATTAAAGTTTTTTAATAATCTGTTATGGGACATAGAATTAACATTATTTTTATTCTAGGATGAAAACAAATGGGTAGAGATGGCGATACACAATATAGCATCCTCAGGAAAATTTTCTTCTGATCGAACGATTGCCGAATACGCGCGTGAAATTTGGGGCGTCGAACCGAACTGGCAGAAATTACCTGATCCTCATGAACCACGTGATATCTAAAATTCGTTTGATATAATTATCAATAATTTATATATAAGGGTTCTATAATTTCTTCTGTATTTTATCTTCTACAATATGGCAAAGTCAATAGAATAATATCTTTCATGATAGACAATAAAAAGTAAATTTTCCCTCCAAATTATCGAGGAAAAAATGGCACGATCAATTATTTGGAAAAATAAAAATAACAATGTGCAATAATTAATACTTAACATATACAAACGCACACACATACAAGTTTAATAACGATAATATAAATTCTTTGCATTATGGATAACTACAAGACTGTCAAATCTCTATAATTATGAAATATTATTATTATTAGATAAAAATCTATATGCGAATCTGGTGAAAATCTATTGAAAGAAAGGTCAATAACTTGTTTATCAAATACATTTAAACGAAAAAACTACCTACACGTATATATCATCATAACAGATAAAAATATATATTTTTCTATAACTAAATTTATTTTTACTGCGCTACTGCCTGCTGTCTAAAATACTCAAATAAAGGTTGACTAAGAAATGATTTTCACGTAATCTCATCGTTAATTAATTATTTTCAGAAAAAAAGAAATTTATTGTACGCGTGTTTTTGCTTTAATATTGAGAAAAAATAATTTTAATGTTATAGTTTTGTGTTGTGTACTTTTAATCGTATCGGTGCAATGTAATCTCTTACATTGTTCCAAATTGATATATCTCATGTTGTGTAATAATATATAGATATATTTGTAATTTCAATGTTCTTCGTTGTGAATGACAACTTTTAAAATGTTCCTAGTCATGAAATGAAAAACAAAAACAAAAACAAGAATTTTAAATGGAAACGTTTCAATAATAAAAAAAAATTATAAAAATAATAAAAATTATTAATTGATATTATTGTAAAAAAAATGATTGTGAAATAATATAAAATGTTATAATATTTAAATAATGGATGGCAGAAAGAGAGAAAAAGTATTTTCAATGTACGCGTAACATATCTCAAAATTTATAATATTTTGTTGCAGATCATTAATTAATCTTTATTAATGTTTTAAGTGCTATTCTTAATTATGAAGCCATGTGTATATATTTTATAAAATAAAATAGAAAACCGGTGCCGATTAAATAAAAATACAAATTCTGTTATAGAATAATTAATATATCTACATAAATATATATATATTAGATTTTATTTTATTTATTATAAGAAAATAATTATATTGTATTTTCCTCTATAATTGTGATCTGAAATAAAAATACTAAAACTAACAATGCGACAGAAAAAAAACACTCGTTCTGAATTCGTTTCAAATTACGCGGTAAAAATCGATCGCCCGATGCAACCAATCGCATCGCAGATTTAAATGGAAAACAGTAAAGAAGATAATTAAAATAAATATCTGAGATAAGATGATTCGAGAAAAAATATATAAACGAGAGCAGATGCATTAGATTCTTTTTATTTGCACGTCAATTGAAAAACAACTTTTAATAAGATAAAAAGAGATACACAAGGTATCTCGTTAAGAGTCATAAGCTTGTCTTTTCGGATAAAATATCTATTTATAACTTGAGATCGTCAAGTAGTACACATAGGCACGTATTCGAGCTAACACGGTAATTCGGTGATGTTTCATATTGCACTTATGCAATGAATCAGTCCGATTCGTACGAATCATCACGAGAAATTCGAAACGTCAGGTTTTAAAGACATGTCACTAACACACTAATACTTGCACGGGATCAATTTTACCGGCTTTCGAAATAGATACAAAGATATTATCGCGAATGAAACACGAATAATCTTTTTATAATCATCTGTTACTTTCTCTTTTTCGCAAGATATTTTATTTGCAGAACTCGGATGGAAAAAATTTGTATAAAAATACCTTTAATGTTTTAAATTCATTACACACCATTCGACATATTGTATTAATTCTGTGATAAACATAGAGAAGATTACAAGAAAATGTCTATCGATTGTATTTTCAAACACACCAAAGAAGACGCTTTCAAGGATTTTTTCTTTTTCGATGAGAAGAGCATACCAATCGTAAGTTATTCTTCATTTAGATATGTGTGTGTATGTAAAATAACATTCAACTGATAACAAGTATAGTCTGTTTCACTACTAAACCAACGAAATAATACTATCTTTCTATTATTTATGTGTATAAATATATATTGTGTATATCTATACAAACAAATTATCTTTTGCCTTTAAAATACGGGAAGATGATTACAATTTTGTCCGTTAGATGTCGACTGTTCATTATTCTCTAGATTCCTGTCGGTAAACCGATGTTTTACTAATATCGATAAATGAATTAACACGATTAATCGAACAACGATATATCGATAATCTCATTTCAAAAGAGGATACGCGTGGGTTATAATCGTCTAGACTTTTAATAGAATTTAAGATTAGATATAATTAAATGATTTTATTATAATGAAAAAAAGAAAGTTAGAACGTCGAAAAAAAGAAGAATAATTTATTAAATTCTTTTCGTGTGAGATAAAAGGAAAAATAATGTGATTGAATTAATGAAAGTTAAAAATGGAACGTATCGGAGGCATAAGAAAGTGTATATAATGTAAAATAATATTGCAAGCAGATGCCTAGAATTGTTATTCCTACTTTGACAGCTTTTTATGTAAGAAAATAAACAGATAAATATGTGAATGTATAAACAATTCAATTCGATATGTTTTATATTTTATATTTTTTAGGAACAAGCAAGGCCTCTCATATTGCAACCATTAAAACCAACATCTGCTATTATTATAACAGGATACATTCCCGTTAATGCGATAAGGTATTATCAATAGAAATATGATTAGATATTAGACATATATATTTTAACCCTTTTGTTTATGGCAAATTTGTTCGTACATAAAATATCGTCGCATGGTATGACCCTCGGTTAGTCCTTCGTACGGCGTCTTTCGATGGATGATCGATCCTTAGATGCGTCATTAAGATAACAGAAGGTTTCAAAAAAAAGAATAAAATTTCTTTTTTATGTGACAGATTTGCAATAAATTTAAATTGCAAAACGAGCGGTAACATAGCGTTGCATTTCAATCCAAGAATAGATAGAGGCTATGTGGTAAGAAATACAAAAATGAAAGGTACGTGGGAACTTGAGGAAACTTGTTCTCCAGTTGGACCATGCAATTATATATTTTGTCGTAACTCTTATATCCATTTGACGATATTTTGCACGGAAGATGCATTTCAGGTTATTAAAAATGTTTAATAGGATATTATATTATTATTTTTTTATGACAAGGATTATTATATAATTAATTTTGTTTACAGATAGCAATCAATGGAGAACATTTTTGTGCCTTTACATATAGGTTTCCACTTAGCGATATTAGCTATCTTCAATGCGATGGACACTTTGAAGATATAAGATTCAATCAAATAAATCTTCAGGTTTATCCCGACCCAAAGTTTTCTAAATCTTCACCTTCACTTGTTTTGACAGAAGACTCCCCTCTCGTAGAATTTCTTGTAAGGATTATAATCATATCTTTTCAAATAAAAATAAATTAAAATAATTAATTTAAAAATAAATCTATATTAAACTTAGGAAGTTCCGATCAATGTAAGAATCGGTTGTGAATTCAAACTCGGTACCAATTTATTTATTAGAGGAAGATTGAAATTACTTCCTCATTCGTAAGTTCGATTATTATTAATATTATTATTATTGTTATTATTAATTTTTGCATCCAATATTTTTTCATTACTTTAACATATCTCTATCTTTGTTATTTTCTCTTCCTTACAGATTTTATATAAACTTACAAAAAGGAGAAACTATTTATCCTCATCCAATAATCGCCTTGCATATAAATCCACGTTTTCTTTACGGTAGTAAAGAGCCTTTCGTTGTCATGAATTGTTGGGTCGATGGTAGTTGGAGAAACGAGGAAAGACACGAAGGTCATTTAACTTGGATGCCAGGCCGTGACTTTTTACTAACGTAAATATAATCTTTGTTTTCTTTTATAAAACAACAAGGTGGCCCTATAATTATCCTTTCTTAAGCTTAAAATTATTCTTGTAATTTTACAATCTTATAAGAAAACATAGTCTACAAAGTATTTAAAAATTTTTTGCTTATTTCGTATTTTTATAACAAATCTTTCTTATGTTATTCATTATTTTTTCTTGTTAGTATACGCTGCGAGCATGAAGGCTTTTCAATATGGCTGGGTAACAAAATGGTAACCGAATTTAAGCACAGATTAAAACCATCCATTATCGATACTTTACGAATATCAGGCGATATTGTTCTTCATCATCTAGCGATCGATCATGTCAAAAATAAATGAAATAACGAATAATTTGATCAAAACGATACTTGGATATACCATAAATATTATTTAAAAAAGAAAATTAAATCTGAAAAATATTAATTTCGGTTTCTTATATGAAACTTTTTGAATGTTAACATTAATAATGTAAGGATATTGTTCTAGGTTTTTTTGATAAACGTGAGAAACGTACTTACACGTGTAATTCTTAGACAATAAGATAATTACTTTGAGTTGATTTTATTAAACTCGTTGATCAAGTTACAAAAAGTCTTCTTCTTATTATTCAATTTTTTATTTCTTGCAATTAATTCACGCGTAGTTTCATTATTTTCATAAATTTAATTAATTTTGGGCAAATATTATTTTAACATTAATGATTAATAAGATTGTAAAAAAAGGAGAAGTACTTTTGTTATTTATTTGTAACGTGACCACTGACATTTAATTGTAAGAAAAATTATTCTCCGAGCAACTAACACATAAGCAAATTATCGAAAATGCGTTTTTTATCAATTTACATTAATTAATCATATCTTATATCAAAAGAAAAAATATGTAGTTTAACATTTTTCTATACTTTTTGTAAAATTTACTTAGAATTCGATTAGATTATAAGAGTTTAAAACATTTGGAACTTTTTCACTTATGAATCGCACACACTTGCTTAACATTATTGTATACGTGACGCTATTGCCACTTGTAATTATAATCTACGATGTACTTATATATACTTTTGTGATTTATACAATACAATAAACTAATTGAATATCTTGCAATAAAATATTTTTATTCGATTACGTTTGAAATTTCAGGATATGAATATTTATATAATATAATATAAAAACCTATAAATTTTTATTTCTTTTAAAAGGAAGAAAGAAAAACAAAATACTGTATCTGGTTATAAGAGAGAGTTTTTGATTTATTATTGCACAATAATTCGAAATAACTAACATAAAAACACCATTGTCTTTCTCACACATTCGTCTCTATATGTAATCACTTTCATCGCAATCAAATTTATTTTATATTTAGTTCTTACATATTATTATAACATACTATAATTTATAATAGGATAGCATGAAATAAGTTCTACGTCACATTTGTTTTTAGAATTTGAAAAATTCCCGTGAGCGTTTCACTTGTTTCGATGTTTTATCTCACATTGTTATTAATTTAATAATAATATAATACATTACATTATATATATACAGGGTGTCCCACATAACTCTAGTCACGATTTTACAAGTATTTGCGATAACCTGACAAAAAAATACTTTAAACAAAAGTTGATCTGTTTTTGATTAGCTGTACATTATATATATTATATTAAATTAAAGTACACTATTTTCTCTACGCGTAGAATACTTTGTCGAGTAATAAATCGATCTGCAAAGGTTCATAAAATGTCAGAGAATGCAATGCTGTAAATTGTGCATCTTTGCAATTTC